GGAGAGTTGCTGACCCACGATCGTCCCGACGTCAGCTGTGCACCCAGACGGCTAGATTCCCTCAAGAGATCCTTTGGTACCCCGCTAAACAGTGACAGGCCTACTCTGATCGGTCCAATGGCGACAATCGCCACCCTCAATCATCAACGGCAGTCAAACTCCGGTCAACTCCGGTCAAGTGGGTTCTGACGAAAACCCTGAAATGAACTCACTGTTAGCTCTAGTTACCGGTAACTTTACCACTGCCCTATCTAAACCCTGTCTGAGATTGAATGAGACTTACTTGTTATACTGCAATAGCGCAGCACAGGTGACTAGGCCACGTGACTATTTCTGTGACGGACGCACAGGGACGTCTTGTATGTCTGACTGCTCCCAGTGACTGAGAGAGAGCCAGCGTCGCGTCCTCTCAAGGCGTTAGCTTAGGCCTACGTGACATATTTTCCGCCTAACTAATAACTCCTTGGGACACCCGTAACATTATTCAGACTGATAAACGATCTATAATAATTTCAAATTCAATAATAGTCCCTTACTTCATGAATCGCATCATTATTAATTCGGTAAATTACATTTAATATCATATAGGCCTAGTTCCACCATCTCTCGCTATGAGCAGGAAGCGCTCTCTTCCCTCCGGCGACCTTGAACGCTCAGTGTTGCCAATGGCGGGGTGTGGGGTATGAGATGTTTGGTTCACACTCAGGATGGAATGGAGAAAGGAAACTCACGATGTGCTTTCTATATACATGTTGTATTGGATGTACAATGCAGCTTGGTGCTGGGAAGGCAGCATGGTTACAAGCGTGATGTAGAGAGAACTGGTTGGTGAGGACGCTCAGAGAAGGACAGCTTGTGGGTCGCCATGCTCGCCAGCGGGAGAGAGGACCGCCAGGCAGGCGGAGGAGGAGCGAGGGCCGCCAGGCAGCGGCGGAGGAGGAGGTGTTGCTGGCTGCGGCTGTAGGTAGAAAGAGAGAGGTCACCACGAGGTCAGGTCTTAAATAGCGGGGGTAGGCGTGGCTTAGCAGTTGACCCCCGCTCCGTGGTGTATGGCGGCGCTGGTTGACCTAGACCACGAGGCATACACTGGGGAATTGGTGGGGTCGGCTAGGCAGCGACAAACAGCGTTTGTAGGGGAGAATTCCACTACAGGGGCATTCGAAATTACTCTGAAATTTCTTAATATTATATATATATATATATATATATATATATATATATATATATATATATATATATATATATATATATATATATATATATATATATATATATATATATTTACAGTACAGTGAACCATCACTTTATGCGGTCATTTGAACCCACGGCGGCCCGCGTGAAGTGAGGAACACGTAAAGTGAACAACATAACATATGGGATTAATTGAAATAGAGACCAGGTCGACCCCCAAACTCCACTTTTTAACGACACAATACGTACTTTTTAGTAAAAATAACATCTTAACTTTATGATGGTATGCACACACACATAATATAGAAGGGAACAATCAATAAGAGAATAATATACTGTAGGTTAGGTTAGAAAAAAACTAGGTTAGGGTTAACACTTACGTTAGTAGAAGAGATGGGTCAGCGTACGGGAATGGAGGCTGGTTCCGAGGCAGAGGGCAGGCTACTGGCCCTCAGGTGAGTCACCATCACTGTCACCCACACTTGTCAGGGCCTCCCTGACAAATCCCTCAAAGTCATCATCACTGTCTCTATCACTATCACTGGCTTGGGCTGGCTGTGGTGGGTTGCGGGCGAAGAACTCGGTTATGCTTTGCTGACGGCTGGTGTTTATGTTGTTGTGATACACCTTGATGTAGGGCTCCATAGTCTGCAACAACTGGGTAGTGAAGATTTCCTACCGGTTAGCGTCAGGGTCGTCGGAAAGGAGGAGCTTGACTTACTCAATACACTCGATGGCACTCCTTACATTACTATGGGATAACTTGTGTTCTTCTTGGGATGATGCACCACCTGCCTCTTCACTGACGTCATCATCATCTAGCATCTCGTCAGTAGTCACATCAGGATCCCTTATCACCTCCAGGATGTCGTCGTTGGTGATCTCGGAGAAGCCTGCAGCTGTAACACTCTGCGCAGCTTCTCTGGCAAGGTCCACTGCTACTGCAACAGTCTGAACCTCACCAGTCACAGATTTACTCTGCCTCCCACCTGGAATACCTTGCAACACATGTCTCCATGTGTCATGAACAGTTGCTACAGACAGCTGATCCCATGCCTCCACCAAGAAGTCCACAGCTTTCTTGACGTTGAATGTTATCCAAAATTGTTTCACAAGTACTTCTTGCTCTGCCAACTGTTGTTCCTCGTCGTCTTCGCTGTTGCTATCGGTGTCGGTGTCACTCAGGTTACGCAACTCTTCCTTGGTGTTGGTGTAGTCGTTCAGGAGCTTAAATTTCTTTGCAGAGAATGCAGCTTTCACATTACAGATTAATTCTTGGTCCATGGGCTGTATTATAGACGTAGTGTTGGGAGGAAGGAAAACCACTTTTACGTTGGGGTGACGATCTAACAATAGGGGCGAGTGTCCTGGTGCGTTGTCAAGCAGCAACAAAATCTTGAATGGAACATTGTGTTGCTCACAGAATTTCTTAACGTCAGGAACGAAACAGTCATCAAACCAGGAGAGGGACAGAGTAGAGAACATCCACGCCTTACGTGCGGTCAGCCAGTGGACATTTAGCTTGGTCATGTCCATGCTCTTGTAGGCGTGCGGCTTGTGTGTTGTGTGAATCACCGTTAACTTGAGCTTACAGGTACAGGAGGCATTGATGGTAAACAGGACGGTGATGCGCTCCTTCTGCAACTTCCGGCCCCGACACTTGCTGGCATTCTTCACAACGAAGGTCTTGGAAGGTAGCTTTTTCCAAAAAAGACCAGATTCGTCCATGTTAAACACCTGGTCGTCGGTGTACTGTCCTTCCTCCATAATCTCACGTAAAAACGTAGGAAATTTCCTAGCCGCAACACGGTCAGCCCTAGCTTCTTCACCAACAATGTTAATATTGGTGATCTTGTTCCTCTTCTTAAATCTCTGCAACCACCCAGAGGAAGCATTAAAGGGTTTGGGCTCTGCAATTCCCATGTTACGTGACACTGCAGCATACAGTTCATGTACGTACTCCTTAACTGAGCGCGTGTCCACCGCCATGTTCCGTCGCGCCTGACGAACCAAGTAGCTCAAAAGTAATTTTTCCGTCTTGAGAAGCACCTGGTTGTGGCAATACTTAATCATAGAAGCACCTGTAGACTTTGTGATGTTCATGTGCTCCTTTATCTTAGCTGCATCCTTCTTTATTGTCCTGATAGTTGATTCGTTAACACCATGCTGGCGCGCGAGATCAACCTGTCTTGTTCCTTTCTTCAACTCTTATATGATCTTGTATTTAATTTCGTAGCTTAGGGAACGTCGTATCTTCTTTGGCTTAGGGCGGCTGGGTCCAGGTAATGCAAGGTTTCTTTGTGGTGGTGGTGGTAGTCTGGTGGAAGCCATTCTTATGGAACAATGGGTACCGATATACACGGTGTAGCCGGAAGGGGTGTAACTGACGCTGGTAGGTCAAGGGGCTTGAACGCTCCCGCTGTGGGGCACGTCATATTACATTAAACCAATCACAGCTAGCGGGGAGGGAGGTAAGGATGCTTGGCCCAATCACAGTCCGATACATCATATGACGTCACCGATAACGCAACAAAGACATACACTGCGCAACCTACTCGCGCCACTTACCCAACATGGCGGGAGGTTTGGATCCAAAAATGGCGCGGCGCGAGAGGACCCCCAGCCGCTCTCCGCGTAAAAGGGTACACACACCGCATAAAGTGAGCATTCCGTGTTCGGCAGGGTACCGCGTAAACGTGGAAACGAGTAAAGTGAAACCTCGTAAAGCAAGGGTTTACTGTTCATATAATTTTTTTTTTTTTTTTTTTCTGTGAAAACGAGCCCGGGAGGGCATAAAACAACGTCATTCACGAAGTGACATGAAAGCAGAGGAAATTAATCACCAAAGATCGACCGTCTTCCTAGAGGTAGAAGATGAGCCGTGCTCGCCATGCTTGACCAGACCTTATAAAAAATTGACCCAAACACAATATCTGAGAAACATAATCAAAATAAAAGTCACTCGATTTTGTCACTGTGCTAAGATATATAAATACCAAGAATAAAATCCTCGTGGCACTTAATATTTCAGCTATTACAGCACAAATTAGCGGAGTCTCTCTTGCGCATATTTACAGCTGATTCGCCAGGGAAGAAGATGACTGTAGCAATGCGTGTGATGGGGGGTGTGGGAGGGGGTTTTGAGAATTGCAATTAAATGCCAAGTAGCGACGTGTCCTCCTAATATTATGTATTCAAATAATTATTAGAGGTTTTAATTGCCTGTATATTGGCCTGGCGAGTTCATGCTAGGTATTTACATACCTAGGTATAAAGCTAGACGTCTCATTCTGGATTGAACAAAAACTAGAAACTTCAGCATAACATTAATTAATAAATGAAAATTTTATAAGTACAGTAATATAATTTCACATTAAAATATAAGGCAAACACTATCTTTGCTATACTGTATAAATATTTTTGTGCATACTGCATGTGTGAGAAAATAATGACCCACAATTTCGTTTACAACAAAGATTTACATGGGAGGAATGATTCACTTTGATAACTAATAAGTTCTTTGTTTATTTTTTTTATCAAAAGTAAAGCACAACAACAGGGAGAAAGTAAAAAAAAATGTTTTATGATGCAGATTATCAGGATATTATTACAGCCAAATGTCATTTGATGGTAAATGATGCACTCTAGGTGGGAAGAAGACAAGCAACAAATTTTTTAAAAATGCCAGAAAAAGGAGTTAAAGTTTAGAGGGAACTTTGAAAATATAACAGATTAATAAACACACTTAGGCCACTTTATCACTTATCGTTTTTCGCTCTTAACATCTCATGTTTAGGTTTATTCTGCAGGTAAAATGGAAAGTATATTCGTTCTATGCATTAGCCATGGGCCTTCTTCCTGCCATAGTTCCAGCACTGCTATATTCTGTTGCTCAGGTAAGATTTTTTGTTTATAGTTTTAAATACTTATGAAGGATAGGTAAGTTATCTTGTCGAGAATATAGGCTCCTTCCTACCCATATACCTGCATTGTCTATGGACATGCTAAATCAATATGAACTTTGATGACAATCTTACAAATAAATTATCTGTCTACTTATCCAAGTCATACTACATAAAGGCGATGGATGAGATTCTGTTAACTGTAACTATAAATGCCGTACAGTGGTCCTTCTGTTAATGAACACAATTCATTGCAGAAGGTCGTTCGTTAACCGAACCATTGTTTCAATGGGATTTTGGGTAATTGGTGCCAGCTCACCAAAAATTTCATACAAAGTAAAAAAAATGCAGTAAAGTATACTTACTTTGAGGTGTGTATGTAGAAGGCTCCTGGTTGATGATGATGATGATGATGGGAATTAGAAGTGGGGGTGGAGGAGAAGGGAGAAGAGAAGGAAGTGCGGGTGGAAGAGAAATCACCCCATGCTTGATGCAGTCATTTCACCCATAATATTTTAAGTTCAAAAGGTGTAATTCAAGATTATTTTCTTTAAATCAACACTGCACTGCTCTATATATTGTCAATATGTTAAATAAATTTCAGAATGACCAATAATTGTACTGTAAAAACGTAAACATACTTTATGTTCAAGAGAGCCACAAGCAATATGTTACCTCCACTGACCAAAGATACAGACTGACGCCTTGGTGGGCGAGTCAAGTGGCTGATTGGCTCACCAAAAACTAGTTTTTTGTGCTGCATTTATGTTAAATAAGTGTTAAAATTACTAAAAAATTTAATATAAAACTTGGAAAATTATTGAATAGTACAACCTTCTTGATATTTACTCAAATGGGAACGAATTATAGCCCTAGAACCGATTACTGTATTGGCGGATTAATATTCCAGTTGGTGAGCAGGCGTAAACATGCTGACGTGATTTTGTTAACCAAATTTTTGTTCGTTAACCAAATTGAAGATTTTTATGGAAGATGATTCGTTAACCAAATTGAAGATTTTTATGGAAGATGATTCGTTAACCGAAATTTCATTAACCGAGGCATCCGTTAACCGTGGGATCACTGTATTAGTAAGGTCACACATATTACAGTTTGTGCATAATCATAACTAAATTATGTTGTTTAAGTGTAGTTTGTGTGCAGGTGTTCCAGGCAGGCAGTAATGTGTGGCTGTCATACTGGACTAGCAACACCACTGCTCCCTCAACCAATACTACTCAACAAGATTTCAATCGTGTGGAGTTTCTGGCTGTTTATGGAGCCTTCGGCATTGGCCAATGTATGTTGAGTTGAACATGTTTATTTTTTATTCATTATTTTTACCTAAATGTGTGTTAACAGTTTTTTGACAGTCATTAATAACAGTGAATAATATGTTAGTTCTTATTGTTGTTCATTATCACCTTAAAACTTTTCAGTAAGGTAAATTTTACTTTAGGAAGAGAGGCATTATAGTTATACAGTATGATATTTAGATTATAATTCATTAGAAAATTACCTGACAAAACTTCCCTTTATACCACACACACGCACGCACGAAACACACACGCACACACACACATACCATAGATTTTGCCAGGGCTTTTGACAGTGTACCCCACGAAAGGCTGAAAATTAAACTGGAAGGGTATGGGATTCGGGGAAATGTCCTAGCGTGGATCGGAGACTTTCTGCATGACCGCAAGCAGTGTGTGGTGATTAATGGCTCGAAATCATCATGTGTACCCGTCACAAGCAGGGTACCACAGGGCAGTGCATTGGGCTCGCTGTTGTTTGTTTGTTTCATAAATGACATGTCTGACGTTGTACACTCCTCCATACAAATGTTTGCCGATGATGCCAAGTTATTTCGGGAAATCAAGAACCAAGCGGACTGTGAAGAGCTGCAGAAGGATCTCTGTGAGCTCAAAGAATGGTCGAAGAAATGGCTGTTAAGATTCAATGTCACAAAGTGTAAGAGGATGCACCTGGGACATACCAACAATAAGGAAGCGTATCATATGTCTCAACGGAACGAAGAGACTGCATTAAATGAGACTGAACATGAAAAAGAAATAGTTGTATACATTGACAAGGAGCTGAAGTTCTTGGGCCATTGCGAGAAGAAGGTGAATCAGGCAACTAAATTATTAAGTCTTATAAGAAGGTCGTAACGATCCTCAAGAGTGAGGTGCTTCCCCGTCTGGAGTACTGTCATCCCATCTGGTCCCCGAAACATGCTAGGTACTGTCACTTGATTGGAAATGTCCAAAGGAGGGCCACCAGACTGGTACCTGTGTAACGGTGGTAAATGAAGAAAATCCCTACCGCTTCACCATTGTAAAGGTGGGAGAGACTCCCGTACTTATACCTTTTTTTTTTTTTCTACTGTACTCTCTCTGTCTTAACTCTGACCTGTGGTGGACCCGTAGAACTGTAATTATGGTACCATGATATGGTGGAGAAAATAAAGGTGGTCATTGTAGGAAAATAACTCCCCTAACATACAATAAAAATGGTTTACTGTATTACAAAAATGCTAGACTTCTCACCACTTCCAATACACACAACTACCATGAGTAACACTCATGTACTTCTCAACAACAAGGTACAGTACATCTCTAGCAGTCACCATCACTTGCTGTGTCTCTTAAACCAGACACCACATTCCTCTTATACCTTGTACACTGGAGTACTAAACAAAACACTTCCTGTATACACACGGATCACCTTCATGACTCCACCCATGGTACTTCACAGTAAGGTATAATACAACTTCCAATATACTTTTACTTACTTTTATCCTTTTCACCACTAATTGGCTCGTTAGCCGCTTGGGCGATCGGTCACGTCTCTGATTACTTTTCCTTTCCTTTTATCCACTTCACCAAATTATCGACTCGTTAGCCGCTTGGGCGATCAGTCACGACTCTGTTACTCACTGTTGGCAAGTACTGATCATGCACCGGCTCCTAAATGTACCTGAACCCGTTCCAGTGTTGGTCAAGTCTTGTCTTGAAAGAGCTCACACTCGGTACCGTCACAACACTTTCTGGTAGATTGTTCCAAGAGTTCACAACTCTCACTCCGAAAAAGTTTGCCCTCGCAGTTTTCTGGAATTGCGGCTTCTTCAATCTTGAGCTGTGACCCCTTGTGGGGCGAGCGTTTTCCAGCTCCAAGTAAGGACACTTGACTGAGAAGTGCCCTTGAGATGCTGATACACCTCTATTAGGTCACCTCTTGCCCGTCTGTAGTATAAGCTAGGCAAGTTCAGGCGCTCCATTCTCTCAGGGTAGCTGAGGTGCCGAAGGGCAGGCATCAGTTTGGTGGCCCTCCTTTGAACATTTTTAACCAACTGACAGTCCCTAGCATATCTCGGGGACCAGACAGGGTGACAGCACTCCCCAGATGGGGAAGGACTTCACTCTTGAAGACTGTTGCGAGGGACAGACCGTCTAGATATCTGAACGACCTTCTTATAAGACCCAATAATTTATTTGCCTGATTTACCTTCTTCTCACAATGGCCCGAGAGCTTCAGCTCATTGTCAACATACACACCTAAGTCCTTCTCACACACAGTCTCAAATAGTGAAGTTTCATCATCCCGTTGGGACATATGATACGCCTCCTTACTGTTGGTATGTCCCAGGTGCATCCTCTTACACTTAGTGATAATGAATCTCAGCAGTCATTTCTTTGACCATTCCTGGAGCCCACAGAGGTCCTTCTGCAGCTCTTCACAGTCCGCTTGGTTCTTGATTTCCCGAAATAACTTGGCATCACCGGCAAACATTTGTACGGAGGAGTGTACAACGTCAGGCATGTCATATACGAAACAAACAAACAACAGCGGGCTCAATACACTGCCCTGTGGTACCCTGCTTGTGACAGGTACGGATGATGAATTCGTGCCATCAATCACCACACACTGCTTGCGGTCATGTAGAAAGTCTTCTATCCACGCTAGGCCATGTCCGCAAAGTCCCCAAATTCCGTATGCTTCTAGTTTGATTTTCAGCCTTTTGTGGGGTACACTATTGAAAGCCTTGGCAAAATCTAGGTAATATTGTTGATATTACCACCCCGTTCCAGAATTTTTTTTTTTTTTTTTACGGGAATTAGCCCACCCGGGCACAGGTCAAACGACACCACAACGGAGCCTGGGGGGCGAAAAAAAAAGAACGGAAAGAAATTGAAAATATAGAAAAAAAAGTTATACTGTATTAATCTACACCATGAAGATGCCGGAAAACCAGCTTTTTAAAGTGAAACAGATAGTAAGAGCATGAAAACACAGAAGAAGGCAGAGCATTCCACAGTTTGGCTGTGTGAGGAAAGAAGGAGGTACTATAACGGGTTATTCTCGTGTGACCGGCATCCACAGAGAAATGGTGGGCACCGCGGGCAAGACGTGTGTTACGAACCCACGGCCTTGCCGGCAGTACACAGGATACCAAATCCACTGAACATTGCCCGTTAAAGTACCTGTAAAAGAGAGAGAGTGAAGCAACATTGCGGCGAAGAGAAAGGGGAGAGAGATTGTCGACTAAAGGAGGAGAGTTAATAAGACAAAATGCCTTTGATTCCACCCTATCTATCAGTTGGACAGAAGAAGAGTCACCCCAGATATGAGAGCAGTACTCCAAGTTAGGACGAATGAATCCCTTATATATTTGGAGCAACTGCTCAGGAGAGAAGTAGCTGGGGCATCTACAGCATTCCCAACTTTCGGGAGGCAGCTTTAGTTATACTAAGGATGTGTGATTTCCAGGACATATTGGAGGAAATGGTGAGGCCTAACATAATTTATTTCAGAATTTGGGAGGATGATTGCGTCCTGAAATGTAATTGGTGGGAGATCGTTTAATTTACAAAGTGTAATTGGTAAATATTGAGTTTTTTTACTATTGAACTATGGGTCCAAATATCCAATATCTTGAGCAATTGTGTTAAGCAGGAGCGCCCCGGCATAAAACCATGTTGGCAATCCTTTACAAGGTTGTTTCGTGGTAGATGTTCCATTGCGGCATCTCCGATAATACTCTCAAGTACTTTACATATTATGCTGGTCAGGCTTACCGGTCTATCGTTGTTCGTGGAGTGATGATCGCCCTTCTTGAAGATAGGACTCGCATAAGCCATTTTCCATTCACTGGGGACCTTTTGTTCATCCAGGCATTTACAAAACAGGATCTTCAGGGGCTCTGCAAGCTCGTTGCACAGCTCTCTTAGCACTCTAGGATGCACCATGTCAGGGCCGGGACTCTTATGGACCTTTAGCTTTGGCAGTTTATTTGTAATACCCTCTTCTGTGAACACAATGTGGGTCATTCCTGTGTCGAACCGTTTGTCCTCAAAAGCAGGAAGATTAATCACATCCTCTCTTGTGAACACCGAGGAAAAGAAGCTGTTCAATGTCTCAGCTTTATCTTGGTCAGAATCTGCGTAACTACTTTCTTCAAGCCTTAGGTCTGATACTCCTACTCGCGTTTTTAATTTTTACTTTGCATAGCGGTAAAATGCCTTTGGCTTGGACTTGACCTCGCTTGCAACCAGCCCTTCTACATTCTATCTTTGCTTGGTTTCTGGCTCTTGCATACATCCTCCTGTCCTGCTCATCATTTGACCCAACCCACGTCTTGAATTTCTGGGTTTTCTTCTTAACTTTTTCGACCGCCGCATTATTCATGTGTAGGGATCCCCTCGTATTCCTAGAGGCACTGGGTTTGGTCTTGGGTATATATTTATTGATCAAATGGGTCACTTTACTAGTTATGATATTCAGCGTAGTGTCTGCGTTCTTGTGACTTAATTAGTCAGGCCAGTGGATACTCCTCATCTCTTCCCTCATCCCGTTGTAATTTCCCTTGTAATATTTGCACTGTGGCCTGGCCTTATCTTGAACTAGGTAACATTTAAATCTGAATGACAACACTGTATTGTGACTGGTGCCAACTGGGGCAAGGTGTTCCAGTTTGGCCGCCATACCCTCCTCGTTTGTTATGATGAGTTCTAGTGGCTTGGGTGTTTGCTCCCCTCTGTAATGTGTCGGGTCTCTAACATGTTGGAGCAGAAAATTAAGTCTCAGAGTTTCTACAAAAAGAGTAACAGGGTTATTCAAGTCATTTGGGGTGAACGCATTTCTCCAGTCGATGTCGCCATTATTAAAGTCCCCCTTGATAAGGAGGTGGCTAGGTTTGAGCATCACTGCATTGTCTATTAATGTTCTTAAGTTCCTTTGATATAGTGGGCCACAGTTTGGGGATCTGTAGATACACCCGACAATAAGTAATTCCCT